TAGAAGGAGCAAAATTCTTCTTAGGCGACCAAAAATCTAAGGAAAAAAGTTTCGGGACAAAAACGGACAAGCATAAATATTAAATGTAACTTAATAGGCGATAAATAAAAATATTAAATAATAATAACCTCGTAAAAAAAGTAGAGTAAATAATCCTCTAATGATTGCAGATTGCGTCGAAACATAATCTAAGGCTCGGCCCTCACAATATTGAAACGGTGCTCAATCAAAAGCAGCGATACCTCAGGGACGAAAGTGGCCCCGGCGGTGGGTCACTCAGCAGTGAATGGACATCATCGCCTAGAAAGGTTGTGTTCACAACGAAACCCACACCAGAAGTGCACATTAATTCCGCGCGTTGATACTCTAATTTAAGAAATTTACCTAATTGTGCTGTATTACTTTTCATGAAATATTAACGCTTGAAGAAATGCAAAACAAATATTTTTTATTGGAAAAGAATTTGAGTAAAATTGCATGTTAGACGCAACAGCAGAGCCAGAAGGTACGAAAAAGTAGTGAAAACAAAAACACTATGGGAGTAAAACGAACGGCGAATAGGACGAAAACGTCGATCCATTAAATCACAAAAGTCTTAGCTCAGCATCGTAATTGAAATTCGTCGGCAGAATGGTTATAGTGAAAATTTAGAAAGCACGAAATTTAAGGAATCAGTACAGTCCTAGTGCGGCTTGTGTGTTTTCATGAAAATCCTCAAATTATTCTGAGGTAAAATTATTTCGAAACAAATTTCATCCCTCATTTTTGAGAAATTTTTGCTTAGTTTCCAAGAAAATAGGATAATTATTTCATCAAAAAGTGAGCCACTGTCATTTTTACCGGCGTGTGGTTGCTGTTGGCACGTGATCATTTTATGAGCTACTTCCGAGTAGCCTCTACTTTTTTAATGCATGAATATGGAGAGAAGATGGTTTTTAGGCTTTTTTGTCCAGTTGATACAGTATGAATTATTAAAAAAACCTCGGCTCGTAAAAATACATGATCACGCCAGCAACATTCATGCACACCGCAATTGAATTGAACTGCTGTCC